TGTCAGCTTGCTTATTTTGCTCAAGATAAGGATTTATTACGTCCAAATGAGATGCGATATATAAATTATGCTTCTAACCACAGGTTGAGAGTTGTTGTTCAAACCACACAACTCTGCGATGCTGTTTGCGAATGTTCGTTGGAACGATGGTTTCGGGAAACACTGACTCGTTGAACTATGCTGATAACGACAGAACTTGAGACCATAGTCAGCTAACGATGCTTTCGGGAAACCCACTCCAGGTTAACAATGGCTGATTGGAACAAAACTCATGGGTCTGTTTTAACTCATGGCCCTAGAGTTCCACTATACATATCAATATTCAGCTATCAATATGCGGGAGATGTTGTGCTGCCTCCGAGGTCTGTCTGAAATCAGTTTTTTGAGGCACCTTTGAGCTCAAATGCTGCCAGATAAAGCCATTGCCTGATCGGGCAGCGAGACAACAAGTCAGCAAAGCTTTCAGACGCAGTGTTACTTTCCTTTGTTTGTCCCGTTAGTTTGCATTTCTCGCTTTGTGGGCTCAGATCCCGGACGAGCCCCCACTTTGTTACTACTATCTCTCAAATATTAACAAAAGAGCAGGAGAGAGCTTGGCAAACAAACGTATAAAGATTTATTATGTGACAGAAGAATTTACATAACCGAGATCCAGCTTAAGACAACAATTCAAGCACAAAACAACGCCGCTTTCGCTCCTCTGTTAGTTTTCAATTCTCGCTTTGGGTGCGAGAGGTCCCGGGTTCAGATCCCGGACGAGCCCCCACTTTATTACTACTATCTCTCAAATAGTAACAAAAGAGCAGGAGAGAGTTCGGCAAACAAACGGATAAAGGTTTATTATGTGACAGAAGAATTTACAGAACTGAGATCCAGCTTAAGACAACAATTCAAGCACAAAACAACGCCGCTTTCGCTCCCCTGTTAGTTTTCAATTCTCGCTTTGTGTGCGAGAGGTCCCAGGTTCAGATCCCGGACGAGCCCCCACTTTGTTACTACTATCTCTCAAATAATAACAAAGGAGCAGGAGAGAGTTCGGCAAACAAACGTATAAAGGTTTATTGTTTGACATAAGAATTTACATTACCGAGATCCAGCTTAAGACAACAATTCAAGCACAAAACAACACTGCTTTCGCACGCCTCTCTCTCCCACTTCTTTCTAACATGCGTCGCTTTCTTTATGCTGTCAGGTTGGGACACGCCTCGCACGCTGGCACACCCCATCAATTAGACACAGGTGGTAACCTAGAATAGCAACAAGACACGGAAATACAGAACAGTAGAAATACATATATTACATATATATAACAAGTTTGTCAGTTCTCGTTTATGACTATGTTTTGTCAATTGTGGTTAGTTTTTCTATCCTTGTCTCCAACGTTCTCCAGAGTGTTATGTTACTCCATCTTCATTGACTACCACACCCTAACAAGTATATTATTTTATTCACGTAATAACTACTCTTTTTAAAAGTATGCTAAAGTACACTTCTTTTTCACAAGGGAACCAAAGGCTGAAAACACAAAGAAAGGTAAATGTTTCACTTGACCATTTTTAGGTAATTCTGTAATATTTTGTGATAATGTACAGCACAGTAATTCATGAATAATGAATTTCATAGAATAAGTGCACTGATAACTGAATAAAGTATTTGTAAAAAGTTGTCCAAAGGGGAAATGACTCGGATGGAGAGAATCCTGCACAACACCGATCTCACTGTGTGTGGATACAAAAAAAAGAAAGAAAAAAATGACAACATTCGCAAAAGGACAAAATCTGCAATCATAAATTAATTTAAATGCACATAATCGAATGAATTATTCATTAATGCCAATCACAGCTATTATTGTTGTGGTGATTATGTAATCTCTCAAGCTTTATGAGATGATTGCATCTGGTGTCTGCAGTTAAATGTCATTTGGCTGTTTGAATGCAGAATTACACTCTAAAAGCCTTATTTTTCTCCCGTCCAATCAAAGTCTCGGGGGCTCATTCGGATGTTTCCCTGATTTAAAATACTTTCTTCAGTAGGGGGTCTCATTTGTTATTTCAACTTTTAAAGTCTGCCCTTTTTTTAAAGTATTTTCTTAGCCAAATTAGAGACAGAAAGAGGCCAAACCCAAAGGATTTATTCTCATTATTCTCTGTTTTTGAGCTGTACTGAAGTCTCAGTCTGGCTGGAGGAAATCAGACGGGTTTAACGCAGCAGGATTCTGCTCATAATTAGATTCTCACCAATTGTTAAACCTTACTGGGTTATTCATCACCTGCCAGTGTGCTTATATGTGCAGGCTCAGTAGATTTTACTGCAGAGCACTTTAAGAAATTATCAAGAAAAGATCTGTGAGACAGATGGAGAGAAGGAGTGCGGCTGCAAGTGCAGCTTTAATTATCAGGTTTTCTGCATTCACATTTTTTGATAGAGTTTCCCAGTATTGGATCAATGTTTTTAAGTCTAGGGGACAAGACCTTTGGAGAAACAGGTGTGTTTGTGCAGCGGGGCTTAAACGGTACCATCCCCGAGCTTCCAAAACAGTTTCATAACAAAGTTGTATACATCACATAAGCATCTCCTATAGGGTCTAGTTCTAGTTCTGCATCAGTTATTGGGGATGCACAATAAAGATTATTATTAAATGTTATCTGAGCAATAACCCTTTTGATGGCTAAATATTGTTTATTAATGTATATTATTAATACAACTGTGACAATTTTACAATTTCCCAATTTTGTTTTTGTTACATTATAAATATGTGGCATTTTTAAAAGACATCACAATGCATTAGAAAGGTTTAAAATTTAACATTGAAAAAACAGTGATCAAAACAGTGATCAGTTCATTCCCTGATCAGTGAATGAACAGTGATCAGTGCTTTTAGTTTTAAAGTGAAAATTCTACTTTTATATTATAGCTAATTTGGGTTTTGTTTATGATGAAATTAATTAGTTAAAGCATAATATATATATATATATATATATATATATAGACTTATTTAAAAAAAAGCATTTTGTCATTTTGGGAAAATGAATATTTTTGATCAATCTAAATTTAAGGTTTGATTTAAACTATGAATATAGTATATATTTATTTATATATTTATTTTTATATATAAATTTAACAAAAAAAAAAACATTTTTTTTTGGCCAAAGTTGGTCCAAAGTATATGTTTTTATTTGTTTATATATACTTACATATATATACAGTATATATATATATATATATATATATATATATATACTGTATATATATGTAAGTATATATGTTTTTATTTGTTTATATATACTTACATATATATACAGTATATATATATATATATATATATATATATACTGTATATATAAGAGAGAGAGAGAGATATGGATTTGTAAAGTCAAGCATTTCTTTAAAGAATATTGATGTTGTGTTGTCTGGATGGGATTCCTCTCTCTGTAGAGTTACTGAGTTGTAAGGGTCTGTTATTATTACAATGTTGCTGCGTTAAAAATTCATGATGCAGGCTGCAATCAAAATTAAAATTTATGAGTCAGGGTTTTTTTTGGCGTGTGTGATGTATTTGCCTTTTTTGGGGGTGAGATTGTCCAAAAAAGAGATTTACCAGAGAATACCTAATTCACATACTTTACTGCTATGTGTGTACAAAGAGGGAGATAAAGAGAATGCATTGAAATAATGGAACGACTAGAGTCGAAAAGAGCAGAACAAAAGAAATATCAATGATAGAGGGGCCACAGTCTGCCACTGTCCCATTTCTCTAATGAGGATATTTTGCTTGCACTTTATTTTACGGTCCATGCACTTACGTGTACTTACCTAAGAAAGTACTGGGTAATATCTACATGGGTTAAGGTTAGGTTTAGGGATAGTAAGTTATTATCCAGTTATTGTAATTACTATAGTATGTACATAGGGAACAGGAGTGCTAACCATATTCTGTGAACAGAAGGCTAAGCTTTTAACACAGATCACTGGAAAACGTCTATATTTTGTTCTGGTTTATGAAGATATGTTTCTTATTTGTATATGATTGAATGAGACAGGGACATCAAAAACCTCTATAAAGACTTCAGATGCAAAAACTTCTCGACATTTTTCTTTTAAATGAACATTTTTATCAGACTCCAATGTTTAGGTGAATGTCACTGAAAAGAGAAAAATTAAAAGCAAAAAATGCTGATTTAATAATATATATATATATTATATTTTCAGACCCAGTGTTAATTTCCTTTGTTTGTTTTGTCAAGTGGGGTTAGTTTTTCTATTCCGTAGCCCTCAAACGGTATTCACTTTATAGCCTTTAATCCTGTAATTGTGGACAAATGTGGGCAAAGAGGACTCAGGTGTGATCCTAATTTTATTTATTATAAATGTTATATCACTGTCTTTGATAAAGTTTTGTCTATTCATTTATGGTGTTTTTTTTTATTTTGGGGGTATTTTCGAATTTATTTACTTCAAAAAATACCATATTTTGTACCATATCATATCTTATTTTGGCTTATTTTAGAATGCTCTAAATTACAGTTTTTCCCATTCATTTCTATGGGTGCCCATTTTTGACCCAAATACAAGGTTAAGGAGTTTTTTTTTTCAATGACTTAACATTGTAGAATTGAGTAAAAAAAAATTGTGTGTTCAGGAGGCAAACTTAGGAAAAGTAGCCAAGTCTTGTACCGCTCAGATCAAGGGAAAACTATTTTGCCCACATTTGCCCAAAATACGGTTTTAGGATTAAGACATATATTTTGTCTACATATTATAAATGCTTTATGTGCATAAATGTATGCAGTTTTGTTGTATGGAAGAGAGTAGCTAATCATCTTGGCACAACTTTTTTGTGTGTTTGAGTAAAATGATGGGTAGGTAGATTGGATTGACCAAATATAGACGAATATACTTTTATGCAACAGCATTTTTTTGGACGTGCATTCAGTTTTAATGGTTTTAACTTTGGATTTTCTTCTGATCTTGAGAGCCATTTTTTGTCTTTCCGTCCACAGGTTTCACAGATCATCAGTTCTGTGGGAAGCAAGGAAAGAAGATGAGACAACTTGGAAACTAAAAGGAAACTGTCGTTGGGAAGGAGCAGTCTTACGCCGGACAATTCCACTTCATTTTCTCCTGGAGATTAAGCCCGACCTTTCAAGCGATGGAGCGCTCTCACCTGAACAACAGCTCCGGCTCGTGGTTATTCGAGGATCCCGTCTGTCCGACCTCTCTCAGCAGCACCACCTTCCTCATCGTGGCGTACAGCACCATGCTAGCGGTGGGCCTGGTGGGCAACACCTGCCTGGTCTTGGTGATCACCCGACAGAAGGAGATGCGCAACGTGACCAACATCTTCATCGTCAACCTCTCGTGCTCCGACATCCTCGTTTGCCTGGTGTGTTTGCCGGTCACCATCATCTACACCCTAATGGATCGATGGATTCTGGGCGAAGCTTTGTGTAAGGTGACGCCGTTCGTCCAGTGCATGTCCGTGACGGTTTCGATTTTCTCCATGGTTCTCATCGCCTTGGAGAGACACCAGCTCATCATCCATCCCACCGGCTGGAAACCAGTCGTCAGACACTCCTACCTGGCCGTGGCGGTGATCTGGATCATAGCGTGTTTCATCTCCCTTCCGTTCCTTTCCTTCAACATCCTCACAAACTCGCCCTTCCACAACCTCAGTCTTCCCTTCAACCCCTTCAGCGATCACTTCATCTGCATCGAGCAGTGGCCGTCCGAGGGCAATCGGCTGACTTACACCACCACGCTTCTGCTGTGCCAGTACTGCTTACCGCTGGCGCTCATCCTCGTCTGTTATTTCCGCATATTCCTGCGTCTCAGCCGACGCAAAGACATGGTGGAACGGGCCCGAGGCGGACGGCAGAAAAAGGCCAAAGGCTCGAAGCGAGTCAACGCCATGCTAGCCTCGATCGTGGCGGCGTTCGCCCTGTGTTGGCTTCCGTTGAACGTTTTCAACACTGTTTTCGACTGGAACCACGAGGCGATTCCCATATGCCAGCATAATGCTATTTTCTCCGCTTGTCACCTCACCGCCATGGCGTCGACGTGTGTCAATCCGGTGATCTATGGATTCCTGAACAATAACTTCCAGAAGGAGCTGAAGCTGCTGCTTTCCAGATGCCGTTGCTGGGGGCCGCCGGAGAGTTACGAGAGTTTCCCTTTGTCCACGGTCAGTACGGGCATTACCAAGGGCTCCATCCTCAGCAATGGCTCCACGAGCACCTATCAGCCACAAAAGACGAACAGTTTGGAACAGAAAGAGAGCATTTAAACGTGTCCAATGACACATTTTACGATTCTTCGAGGTGGCTTGAGAATACGGCCAGCCAATCTGTGCACGTTTCGTGGCTGAATTTGAGGTTCAGAATCTCACTTTGGACAGTGATATTTCAAGATCGTGTTCCTTAAAGATGTCGACTTTAAATATGGAAATGGTCTGAAAAAACATTAAGAAAGGGTCTTGTAGCTGGGCTCTGAAGAGGAAGACAAAGTATGTTGCGTTCATGCTTTAAAGGATTAGTTCACTTTTAAAAAAAACTTTTTCTGATCATTTTCTCACCTCCATGTCATCCAAGATGACCACGTGTTTCTTTCTTCAGTCGAAAAGAAATTAAGGTTTTTGATGAAAGGTCCAACAGACAGTTTCGTTTCAAAGGAATGAATCTTTTTTTCGTGTCATTTGGTTCATTCAACGAACGAAATGAACGAGTTGACTCGGGAAAAGATTTGTTCATTTTGATTCACGAGTTCGAACAGGAGGGTCACGAATGCGCGTCACAGAACAGAGAAAGGTGAGAATTTGATTGTTTCGCTTGATAAGACCCTTATTCATCGTCTGGAATTGTTTAAAGCCCTCTGAACAGTTTGCACTGAAACTCTCATTTGGACTTTGAACCGTTTGGTTCCCATTGAAGTCCATTATATGGAGAAAATGCTGAAATGTTTTCATCAAAAACCTTAATTTCTTTTCGACTGAAGAAAGAAAGACATGGACATCTTGGATGACATGGGGGTGAGTAAATTATCAGCAAAGGTTTTTTTAAGAGTGAACTACTCCTTTAACCACTGCTAAACTGACTTGTTGGTGTTGTGCTCATTATCTGGTGAGTTCTCTTTGGCACGGAAAACTATTTCCCCCATTTAGAGCAAGTTTCAGTGAAATGCTGAGTTTCTTATCACTGTTTTTGTCCAGGGTAAGGCCTGCGGAAGAAGTGTATGACTTAGTAACAGCAAAAGACATGAGCTATTTAGGTTCTTGTCACTGTTAAACAATAACTTTACTCACACTTGTGTCATCTGTGACTTTCTTTCTTCTGTGGAACATAAAAGTAGATATTCTGAAGATCGCTCTTTTCATGCAATTGCAATAAAAGGGGACTAAAGTTGCACCATAAAACCTAGACCATATGACGCGTGTGCTTTATTTAAGTCTTCCAAAAACACACAATAGCCTTGAAATGTTTCCTGCAGTGAGCTGTCAATGATTTCAGATCATTATGTTTTTGCGATCAGATCAAAAATGGCATTTTGAACCCGATCATACATATTCAATATAAACATCCGATGCAAAATAATGATTTATTCTCTCATGGGCTAGTTGAACATGCTGTAGAGAGATATAGGGCGAATGACTTCAATTTCAGTCTGTTTCTCACCCAAAGATATCATTGGCTTCATAAAACCTGAAATATAGCATACTTTCATAGTACTTGGTCGTCCTTTTTCAAGGTTTAAAGGCTTCAAATCCAAATTTGTTGTAACTGCATGGAAAAGACCAACCATTCTCCTTATTTGTTTCACAAGGAAAGAAAGTCATTTGAATTTGGAACAACATGAAGGTGAGTAAATGGTGATTTTTGTTGGTTTTTCTCTAAAAGAAGGTGCAGAACTAGCAATACGTGTATAATGTGTACATTTGAAACACATAGTTAGTTATAATACAGCACCATGACTATATAAGCACATTGTGTCATTGATTAGGATTAGAAAGTCTGCTATTTCCGAGTGATATGTACTATCATTTACACATGTTGTTGCTCTGTGTGACGGCTGTAATTTGTTTCAATGTCAATATAAATATGCTGTGTCCTTCGCTGAGTGGCTTTATTTGCCAAAGCTATTCAAGTGAATTACAGATTCACTTCCTCATCTGCTCTTTCACTGACTGGACTGTGCCAAACTAAGGAAAGTGCATGCAAGTAGTATTTGCAATACATGTACGTGGCCGAAACATCATTATTTATTAGCATAATAACACTTTTAAACACTCTGCAAATGATAGATGTCAAGTCACATGAATCATCAACTTTATAGTATACCTATCACTGATTTACAATTCAATTTGATTAAGATTACTAAATTATCACCCTTGTGAAAAAGAAGTGTGCTTAACTGTATTGAATGTACACTTGTAATACTTCAAATTTTAAAAGTTAATATGAATTAAACTTAAAGTACGCTTTCATGGCTGGTTCTTAACAAATACACTTTTGAAAAGTGCACTTTGTAATGTCAATTTAAATGTTTAACTTTGTTTTAATCATCATGTTTGAATTATTTTCTGTTGGGCTTTAAAGAAGTACACTTATTTTGATGTGTTGACTAGCAAAAGTACGTGTGAAGTACTTGATTATCATTTGAACTGTAATGTGTTGATTTAAATGTACTAAAATGCAACTTCATCATTACAAACATGCAATTACACATATTTTAAATACATGACATACAATGACATTACTGTATATTTTAGTTTACTATAAATGATTGGCAGTACATTCGGTGGTGCAATTTAACCACACTATTTCAAAAACAGTAAGTAATTATAAAATTACATACAAAAAAATACCCACCAAAATTCAGATAATTGCATTTAATTTAAATGAAAATTATAATGCATTTGAATATAATTGCAATTAAAGGAGTAGTTCACTTTTCAAAAAACTTATGCTGATAATTTACTCACCCCCATGTCATCCAAGATGTCCATGTCTTTCTTTCTTTATTAAGGAATTAAGGTTTTTGATGAAAACATTCCAGCATTTTTCTCTATATAATGGACTTCAATGGGAACCAAACGGTTCAAGGTCCAAAAGACAGTTTCAGTGCAAACTGTTCAAAGGGCTTTAAACGATTCCAGACGATGAATAAGGGTCTTATCTAGCGAAATGATCGCTCATTTAATAAATAAATAACAAAGTTTAAGTTTTATAAGCTCAAATGCTCGCCTTGCTCTGTTCCGTGATGCACATTCGTGACTCTCCTGTTCGAACTCGTTCATCAAAATGAAAAAAATCTTTTTCCGAGTCAATTTGTTCATTTCGTTCATTGATTGAACCAAATGACTTGAAAAAAGATTTGTTAATTTTGTTGAATGAGTTTGAACAGGAGAGTCACAAACGTATATCACAGAGCAAGGTGAGCATTTGAGCTTATAAAACTTAAAATTTGTTATTTATTTATTAAATGAGCGATCGTTTCGCTTGATAAGACCCTTATTCATCGTCTGAAATCGTTTAAAGCCCTTTGAACAGTTTGCAGTGAAACTGTCTTTTGAACCTTGAACCGTTTGGTTCCCATTGAAGTCCATTATATGGAGAAAAATGCTGGAATGTTTTCATCAAAAACCTTAATTTCTTTTCGACTGAAAAAAGAAAGACGCGGACATCTTGGATGACATGAGGGTGAGTAAATTATCAGCAAAATTTTTTTAAAAAGTGAACTACTCCTTTAACATGCACTTCGAAAACATTACATTCAGTTCACACTTAAGTATATTTTTTTAAAGTACTATTTCCATTATAAGTAGGTTTCTCTTTTCTTTTTTTTTTAAGGTATGTAGTACTTCTTTTTCACAAGGGTATACTTCAACATGGATCATTATACATATTCCTGATGTTTTTATACTTTTTCTTTTGAAATACCTTTAAAATGTCTTTTATCTGTCACTGTATTGCCAACCATAGCATGTTGCTCAATGTTCTGTGACGTGATGCCACATAAGCTGCTAAAAAGTAGTCTGCTGTGAAGTCTTCGCAAAAAGAAACATAGAAGGCACATTACAAACACAGGGGGCGCTCTTGAAAACCGTACTGAATCATACTGACACAAACTTGTGCAAGCGAAGGATCACAGGTCCACGTCAAGTGCATCATTTGGGAAAGTGCCTAAGTTCTCACTGAAGCTTGATATTAATCAATTATTTTCTCCCTGCTTCTGTTACAGTCCACACAGATACACTGCTCTTATAATTTATTAAGCAAACAGCACTGACTATAGCGTTTGTTCACTTTTGTCCACATGCTTACTCTTATTGATTTTATTCCTTGTGTTTAGCTGAAATGCTAGGGCCTGAATGAATGGGAAGATTTATGTTTTAATTTGTACTAGCTTGAGTTTTTTCAAAAGCATGGTTGCATTGAGAGTTTCTGAAGAGTGAAAGGCATTAATGTGTAGCCATAAAACATCGTAACCATCCACCTGGAAAAGGTTAAACATTCAGTCGCCATTTACCAAGATATTTATGGTGTGATGATATAGTGTATTTCAGACGCATCAACTCTTGGTCAGTAGTTTTCCCTCTCTATCTCTCTCTCTCTTTCTCTCTCTGCTTTTCAAATATCGCAGGGTTGGTTATTGACCAGACAATGTGGGACGCCTATATTTCAGCAATACACCTGTAGAAAATTGCTTTGAGGTGTTTATGTGAACCAATATTTTTGTCTCATTTTCTTTTTTATTCCAGAGTTATTTCACTGGCCTCGATAGTGGAGTGTGCCTGAGGTCAGCTGGCTGTTTTGCATTAAGTTGGTATCTGAACTGCTTGCAATAAAGCATTTACAATAGACCTACCATAAATAAAAAGCCACAAACGTAAAATTTCCATTCATGAGGCTGAAAGAGTAGCCTATATAACGCTGTTTACAAACCCAGTGAAGTATTTGAAAATCACCTGCAGCTCTTAACATTATACATTATACACAACACTAAATGTTCTTTTACATATCATTGAACATTAACATGTACATCTTTATAATTTGCTGTTCAGGACAAAAGAATGTGCCATACATAGCTTACAGAAATGAGAAATCCTAATTCAATTATGTAATTCAGAACTGTGTAATATTATTTGACTCATTATGGCCTAATTTCAGTCCTATGAGTATCAGTCAAGTCAAGAAAATTAAATTAACATTCTGCCAAGCATTTGCTTTGGTTTATGAAGAATGCAAAAGGCCATCTAAAGTGTTCTGTGTGGTTGTTTGCACATCATTCATGTCATGGGATATTTGGTAATGATGTACATATAAAAAGTTTATATTGAACTTCTTTTGATGTTTTTCCTCAATTCTTGAATGTATACTTTCATGTAAATTAAAAAATGTAACCTCTCCAGATCTTGCACTTTGTTTGTGTTTCTGAATGCATGTTACTAATTCCTAACTTTATATGTGTTTTAAGTTTCGATATGTGCAGTTAATGTTGTTTTGCAACAGACACTGCACATAGAAAGGCACAGCTGAGAGAGAGAGAGAATACCCATCATATCTCACCATTATTTGTCCTACAGTCTTTTGTCTCTTT